TTAGTATAATAGAAAGGGTGTACAATCTTCAAATAACCAGGGTCAGTATTCAAATAGTTGGGGGTCAAGACCAACAATTCATGATTCAGGCATTTTATAATAAATGCTTTCTATTAATAATTGCAAATAATATTTATGAGATATGTCAACGTCATAACCTTGTTAAACTTATTAGCATATGTTGTACCCAGTGTGCATGCTTTGGGCCTTTTTTCTGTATTGCACAATGCATGCGTCATCACAGTGAGGTCAATTGAAGTTTACATTTCATTCAAGGTAACGTTCAGCACCATCAATGAGGTTTCAATCAAACCTCATTGATGGTGCTGAACATTATATTTGTATTCAAAGCCCACACATAAGAGACGCTACCAGATATACCGTATGCTGAAATTACAGGATTTGTACACACTCCCACCATGTCATACGCTGTTATATGCAATTACAATCCTGGTTCCCCATAACTCGTATGTGTATATGTATAGTTACTTGCATGAGTAGCCATGCTGTTTCAACTGTAATAACCACATTTATGGTCAGCATTTTGTGAAGAAAATGAATATTATTCACAAGATGCTGACCATTAGTGTGGCCGTTACACTTGAAATGGCATAGCTACGAGTTGCAATTAACCACTTAGACTACAACAATCTAACGAAAAACGCAAAATAAATGCACACACCGAGTGACGAAGAATAAAAACACACCATTTTGTTTTCAAATTTTATTTCTTTCACATAAGTGGGTCATTTCTCCAATTAAAAATCGACAAATGCATGTATATTTAAAAAAAAACAAAAAAAACTGAAAGAATGAAATACAAAACTGGAAATCAAACTCCCGGTATGGATCTACATCAAGTTTAGGTGTGCATTGTGGGATACATGATGTCATATCCTGTTAGCTGTTGCATTATAGATCTTTTTATATATTTATACATTTTTCAGGAAAGAAAACAAGCAATTTGTTACTACCAACTTATATAAATAAAATAAGATAAGAAAAGAAGAGAGAACTTATAATGCAATTTAGTCAACAGGAAGTGACATATTGAAGTAGAACAGCAATAAATGGCTACTGTAAAACCATTTATATTCACTGGCATTTAATTTTGATGTTTTGAGCAAATTCACTGGTTTTCAAGTTCACAAACTTGGCAGAGGAACAATACCGGTAAGTTCTATTGTTATTTTTCATGTTCAAGTGGATTTAATTCAGCAGATTTTACTTATCAGCAAAAATAACAAAATTAAAACCCAGTGAATAATTAATGCATTTACAGTATTCTGTGAATTATTCTTACACAGTATAGTTGTACGTAAATAATCTTAAACAAACTTAATATTTATCTGAAGGTAGTTATATATATTCAGAATGCGAGTCAAACTTTACAAGAAATAATCACTGAAAATAAGAAAAGAATCATACAATACATTGAGAGGAGTTTCTAGTTTGTGTCACAGAATATAAAAAACTTGCCTTCATTTTTATTTATATCTTAAAATTAACAGAAATTTGAAACTCTGTGAACTAATTAGATGTTAATATCATGTAATAACACGTATGGTAGTACCATATTTACATAGCAAACTAAACTGGTTGCTTATGTCAGTAAGTTTTGCCAAGACACGTCTAGTAACACTATGCTACAGATGCAAGTACAGCAGCAAAAAAATTACAATTTGTTTCATAAAATTAAAATATATTACATCAGAATGTAATTTTCCATGATAGGGGGGCGGGGTGGGGGTGGGTGGTGTAGTGAATGGGATACAACTTTATATGCAGTAAAGGACCTATCGAATACGCCATAACTGTGGCACTTGAAATACTAAGTGAAAAATGTCTCAAATCATCAGGATAATTATATGCATTTTCCAAGATTTTGTTTTTAAATTTCCCACATGATGGTTTGTCCCAACCCATTGCCAATCTAAACATCACATCTGGGAGCAATCACAGTGTAACTAAAAGTCATATATCAAATGGAGAGGGACCACTCACTAGCAACAAATTGCACACCATTGCATCATGTACTTGAATCTCTTGGAAACAGCAACATGATGTTTTAGTGAAATTGGCTTAATGTATAACTTAACAAAATTGTTGTCTTTTTCACATTACTCAACCCAGGTACTCCTAAATAAATCTAAATAACATGCAATTGCATTAAAAGCAGAAATTGAGGCAACGAGACAGCATAAGAACATCAAAAAACATGCCTCAAACAACCTTTGACCCACATTAAGTACAAATATAAAATTCAAAAGAACACCTCTTATACAATTACTTTATACAGAGCACTAGCAATCTCTGTACATATGTACATTTGCATATGATTGACTTTAAAAACAATACCCAATAGGTCATTTCCATGATAACTAAAGGTCACACACATCCTGGTACTATCATTGATTTAAAAAGCAAATAAAGTATTCATATTTCAGCTCAAATTCCTAGATTTGTCTATTTAGCTACAGGAGTGAAATAATACTGTTGAAAACAAAAAGACACATTAAAATGCCCCAATTATGCAGGTTTCTCATGTTGTCATAGCAACAAAAGTACCAGGATGTATGAACTTTAGGGGTCATGCAAAACTGCCTATAGCATTAGCTAATTGTACAAGAAATGGGACAAGACCATAAAATTATAATAAGAAATAGCTACATGGTAATTGACAAAGAAATCAAACTATTGTTATATCTCAGTGATGCATTCATTAAACTCAAACAGTTTAGTTATAAAGCGATAACAATGAGCAGCAACAAATAAAATGCATTCTTTTTAAAATTTCGCAAGTACATTTTTGGACTCAACATGATTTACTTTTTTCAAGGTCAGAAAATTGATACCATTGGAGGTAGAAAATGTTTTAACACAATCCTTGCACAGGATAACTTTTTCACCAGCAGACTTTCTTGCCCAAATATTTCTGCACTTTTTTTTTCATATAATCTTCATTATTTCTGGAACTCTAATTTTGAAGCCAACAGACACAATTTTCAGTTTTTACTCAAAAAATTTGGCTATTTTTGTCAATTTTGCCAATTTGTGAAGAAAAGATGGAACTGATGATGAAAAGGTTAAAGGTTACCATAACAGTCAGCTCTCAATAAAAGAAATACTTTCTCATCTACAGCAAGAAATGAATGACTGCTTGCGAAAGAGCTTTTCATCCAGTGTTCAAATAATTTATGAAATACCTACATGTAAATATTCAGGAAAAAAATTGAAAAGCAGTTGAGATGACATAGTTTTTTAAGTAAATTGACACTATTAACACTGCATCAGAAAGATGCCCTTGCTTATGGAGAGAAAATGTCCATTTCAAATGACACCATATTTGATCAATTGACTGACTGGTATGCCAAATTTGTAGCAGTGGTGCATTTCTCCTATTGAGACCACCAGAAGAGATGGTAGATGTATTCTTATTAATCAGTGTACATTTCTACCAAAAGTGTAAAGGGTTTATTTTTGTTTAATTTGCCAAAAGCTAATTGCACTTAATTAAAACCCTGTGAATGCATACTAGTTAATAGAATGTATTGTTTCCTTTAAAAAACAGTGAATTTAAAACCAAGTGAATAATATCCCTGCAATACAAACTCTACTAAAATTAAAGTGAATATTTCTTAGAGAATACTCTGTGTACACAATATTTATTAATCAGGATACATGTCCACCATTCATGCTCACACGTAGATGACTGAGGTTACCCAGGGTTAACATTATCAAGCATTTATATCCACTAACAGTGCTTGGTCACTTTGGGTATACATAATTAATCAGGATACATATCTACCAAGTAGTGCTAGAGGTTACCCTGGGTACACATTATTAACAAGAAAGTAAAGTTGAAAACAAAAACAAATGAGAATTGTATAGATCTCTTGTATCTGATAGTTTATCAAGCAGGCTTTACTAAAGACACCTGCATCTTAACATGGAAAACCTTAAACCATGGCAACAGTAGCATCAAAAGTGGTGAAACTATAATACACAACTATGTGAAACTCAAGCTGGGAAAAATGATTTTAACAAAAAGCTTTTCTCAAATCAGTCTTAATCACACACACACATGCACACCTGAGGTAAAATAGTGTGAAAAAGGAAAAGCAAGTGTTTGTTTGTTTATTTTGTAAGTACATGTACAATACAGCATGTTCGGTAGATGATGACACTCTTAAGCCAAACATGTCTCCACATGAATATATTTTTTGACCAGCAAGACTCAATCTACTTGAAAAATTATCTGATTAAATATTACAATTTGATAAATAGTGAATTATTTAAAAAAAAAAAAAGATTCTTGAAGACAAATGTTGGCCTACCATAATGTGCAATCGTCTGAACAACTTTTTAATTTCTTTGTTCCAATATCACTGTAAATTTACGCTTTTCATCTTGGTCCACATTAATTTGAACCAGGTGAGAACAAGAAAGCAAACACACACACAGGGTAACTGAGGAATACTGAGGTGGTGACTCGTTTATACAAAACTGGCCAATGACAGACTCCCTAACTAATCTTCAATTTAAATAATAATACTGCTAACATGGTAGAGAGACTGTAATTGGTTTTAATCAAAGTAACAAAAGACTATTAACTAACATAGATAAATTACGGGTCAATGAATCATCTCCAATCAAATCGGTGATTTTGGAAGTATTGACCACTAGAAAATGAGCACAGATTCCAAAATATATATCAAAATTAAACAAACAATAGATGAATGAATTTGACGTTATGGTGATGTGCAAATGTTAATACAACAAACAGAGCATTACAAAATTGTATATTCGGTTGTCCCTGCCACATTTAAGATAGTATGCCATGAAAAGAAACAATATGACAACACTTGTCTGTCTGTACCATTTTTTTATGAAGGAAAGAGAAGGGGATTGGTCTAGTGATACATTCTATTACCAGAAAGTGTATCATGTTTTCTTAAAAACAAAAAACATACAAGCAAACAAAAATGAAATAGACAATCTTTGTAGTATAGATAATGTATTTACAAATTATCGTTGATTGGTACTCTGGTTGGCATTCTCTCTAAAACATCGCATATATAATTGGCTACATCCACCTGTTTAGCTTCATATATCGTGATAAACGAATGCCTCTGCAGAAAGAAACAAGAACAATTATTAACAAAACTGATGATAACCACTGCGACAGAAAAAGAACCCTCTCTCACAGACATTTGTATTGACAGAAACACTAGCTACACACTTGTACAAATTACATCTGACACTAATATTAGTTTGGTGTTTCTACCACTGATATTTTATTTTCGCTTGGAATTAATTTTCACTATTTTCGCTGAAGTGAAAATAAAATACAGCGAATATACCTTTTTTTCTTTATAATACATTCAACTTGTTGAAAATCAGTGAAAATAATTTCATACAAAACATCCAAAAACTCAAAAAAGTATTTCATAGTGTTAGTTGTTTAGCAATCTCCCAAAGAAGAACCCAAACAGCAATGCATGATGGTATTTATTGTAGTGGAGACAACAAATAACTTGATAAATGGTGCAATGTGTCAAGTTTTTATCAGTATAACTCGCAAACGATGTAACTTTCAGATTTGCAACACGGAAATCACACTGCTTGTTATGGACATTTAACAATAGTTCTGTTTTTGCTGAACGACTGGTATGCTGTACAATACAAAATGATCACAAAAGAGAACAGGGAACGACAAGAGACACAACTAAAACAAACAACTTCAATAAGATGACACTCACCAGTAAATCTTTATATTTTGGCCTCAAAGTTTCATCTTTTGTTAAACTGCAAGAGACAGGGAAAGTGACTTATTAGTTTATTTGATTTATCATGTATGAAATGAACATTTACACGTTATGTAATTTTTCACCATCACAAAATGACCACAGATTATAATTACTCCTCTTAATCGCAATGTAATGGCTTTTGTTATGATTGTTCTATGACTTTCCTATTCAGTCAGCACATTTATACTCTCAGGCACGACAACTGAACAGATTTTATGTAACCTACATCCAAAGACGGTACATAAAATTTCACCTGCCTATTTCTTGAGATGAAATGTAGGCTGCAAATTTTGTTGGGAGCAAGTGGCTGTGAATGTTTTATTACACAATAGCACATCATTTTAAATGATCTCACCAGAATTAAGTGTGATATTGGGAATGATATTAATATATACCATGATCAGATAGTATGTTTCCACAGTTTTATTATCGTTCACCTTTTTTTGATGAAATATCTAATTATTAACTAGTGATGTATATAAACAGATGTAATTGGCTTACAGGTGACTGGACAACGCACACTAGCTGATTCCAGTCGTCACAAACTTTTCTTTAAAAAAACAACTTGTTGAATCTTTATGTGAGTGAGTCGGTGCAGCTATCGTCCCAAAAAGAATCTGACATATTACTAGGGAGTTAGGCACATTAACGCATCATCTGCTGAACATTTAGACATGATTTGGCACTTACCAACTATTAACAAAATTGACAAACTCGGCTGAAAAGTTTTCTGAATGTGGAAGCTGAGGAGCATCACCCTTGACAACCTCTGTGAGCTGATCAAACACACTGTTCCACTTTCTGTATGGAAATTTACCAGTGGAAAGTTCGAGCTGTAAATACAAGTTGGAGAAAATTACTGATTAATTATAATAATAATATGTGAAGTATACCAACTTTAACCAACCAATCAGTGACAACACAGAATTCTGTGCCATTTACATATTTATGTAGCGATTCACCAGACCATTGTTGAGTGTATTGGGAACACACTATGAATGACTGGATTCTAGGCTAGATATACGTTGAACGTTTGACTTTTATTAAATAATGCTATTTGGATTGAAAAAAATATCTTCTGTAACAAAAAATCAGACATTTCCATATTCTACAGTATGTGGTGCACTTCACCAGTACACTATAAATTGCAAAAAATGAGACGCAGGTTTCGAACTAAGGTGCACGATGAGAACACCTTTTTTTGCCATAATATCACCTGCATTGTCTTGAGGATGGACATTTCGAGAGAACAGACGTACACATGCCTAGACATACCTACTAACCACAACCTCACTAGGCTACTTACCAGTGTAATTCCTAAACTCCAGACATCTGACCTGACATCATAACCATGTTTGGATGCTGTCGGGTCTATCCTCTCTGGCTGTAGACAAAGACAAGAGTTAAACATTCACCATATTCAGTTTTAGCTATTACACTTTTGTCTCCAGAGTTGAATCCTTGCAACAGATCAGTTTCTCTTTTAAACCTTATTATCTCAGATGTTTGTATTCTTTAGTTCAAAGGTGAATCTCTGTAATGGGTCAGTTCCTTCCCCAAATGAACTGTGAGTTTTGTTTTATTATCACATTGCTCAGCTGATGGAAACAAACAAGAGAACACACAACTACTTACAGCCATGTACGGTCTACACCCTGCATCCCTGGTCTTAGCTATAGAATCCACCAGCTGACCACTAATACCAAAATCACACAGTTTAATATTACCGCCACGATCTAAAAGAATATTTGATGGTTTCACATCTAGAAAAAAAAAATATTAATAACATACTGTTTAAATACATCATAATTGATAAAAGATATGATACCTTTTAAATTATAACACTGTTCAGTTTCACAGTATTTAGGTGCTACCACAACACAATAAGTAGATGCAAATTTTGGGATATTTTGGTCAGTTATGTTAAAATTCAGGTATAATACAATTGAGAGAGCTAAGGGGTCTGTATGAAAGAATAGTTTCTGAATATAATAATAAACAAATATGCATGATCATGATACAACGTCTGGTTAATCTTGAAGAAATTGTTCCAGACACTTTGAGTATCAGAATTCAGCAAGTTTAATAAAATGGCATTTAAAGAAAATCAATGTGCATATGCAAATCATCATACACTGTCATTGAGTTAAGTTTGAATGAGATTGGTCAATACATGTGTGAGAAAAGGCCTAGGACAGACGAAGTCGTTGATTTCATCTGAAACCGGATTAATTTGTCATACTGTGATTTTTTTCTGGGAAGAACACTACATACAATAAAAATATTTCAATAATGTCAGATTTCATTCTTACCTCTGTGGATTATTTTTAGTGATTCTTTGAGGTAATTAAGTGCTTTAAGAGTCTGAAAAACAAAAAGATTTATTACAGTCAGTATTTATCACTATAGATGGTCAATATACAATATGCCTTCTATGTAGTGGACCACTAGCACATGCACTGCTATGACATAATCATAATAGACACCTAAACATTGGCTCCCCAATAAGATTTCATTATTATTTTAATGATACATCATTGGAATGAGTGCTTCAGATATTTCGAAATAGTGAAATGGCAAGCCATATATACAGTAATTTACTTGAAACTGAGTGCACTGAATTGACAAGGTGCAAACGCTGGTTGTACTCTGGGTCTTACCCAACCTGATAGTAACTGTCTTCTTACCGACCCTGATAGTAATTGTCTTCGTATCCACCCTGATAGTAACTGTGTTTGTAAACACTCTGGTAGTGACTGTTTGTACTCACCCTAGTAGTAATTTTGCCTAGAATATGTTCATGTATAGTTTCATTTTGACTATATACAAATTTATAAAATTTGTCACATGATGTAGCCATGAGTTCCATACAAATCCAACAATCGCCCTGTTAAAAAAAGAAAATAGAAAACAATGTGAACATCAGATACCAGGCTTGGACTGAATATTCAGACTTCAGCTGAATACATGGTGTACTGTATATGCATAATAATGGTCAATCTATCTGACAAAGCAGATATTCAAGAAGTTTTGAATACCTATTATATATCTCGTATTGCCCAGCCTCTTAACGCAATGGAAAATGCGCCTTCACATCAGGGCAATAATTTTTCGTATCACGCATGGCTCAGCGTGCCTGGCTTTCATCATTCAAAACAAAACATGTCATTCTAAATTACGTTTAGTGTTTGAGGTCACGCTGAGGTAAAATTGTAATTCCACCTATAAGGTATACGATAACACTTTTATGGACTGGATATGGCTTTTGCTGCCCCGGTTATACGGATTATGCGCCCTCGCAAGCTTCTGTCACACGTCCTTGGGCCATAAAAGCCGTATCCAGTCCATAAAGGTTGCCTTGAAATGTAACCCACAAGATCAGATCTTGCCAAGTTTGAATGAAATTGTCAAAATCATCAAGTTTTATTTTTTGGGGATTATAACCAAAGAATTAGGCAGATATATACAGTATTGTGAATACAGCTTTAGTGAAATGTCAAGATTTATCAAAGTAAATAATGCAGATGCACATGTATATATGCTATACGAAATAAAGAATGACAGCCAGTCAACCATTTTGAAATTTAGTTTTCACTTAAAAAAATGTCCTTTACACTACATGGTCATCAAAGAAATGTTTTTGAAAGTAGGAAGACATACTGGTATTTAGAGATTAAATAACAAACCACACCCATGTATGTATTAAACCATAGTATGAATATACAAACCACACCCATGTATGTATTAAACCATAGTATGAATATACAAACCTCTTTAAATAAAGCACCATAAAACTGCACAATATATGGACAATCACTACTTCTCATTACAACATCTAGATCCATTAATAACTGTTTCTGTTCTTTCTCATCCACCGTTGACCTAATACGCTGCAACGATAATGATATACCGGAGGGGTTCTTAAGTCACAGGGGTCAAGCATCGCCTAAAAATACCTAAATCGGGATTAAAATCTAGGCGTATAAAAGCACCATGCCACACCCTGTGCGTATAATCTGGATTAAAATCTAGGCGAGTTATCAGGTATTATCGCACCCTGCACTCAGACAGCATTGTAATCTGACACACCCAACTTTCATAATTGTTAATAGGTAGTCGTAAATTTCTCAGGATGCCAATAAACGTTTGGAAAATGTCATTATCGTAAAAAAACGCAAATACTTGCAACTTTTATGCTTTTCATGTAATTATTACATGATTTTTTAACATTGAAATAATTGACATTCATTCATCTTGTTTCTGATTATCAAACGAACACTTGTCCATATTGGGAGATATTGCTCTGGAACAGAATTAATCAAAATAAAATGGCCACTGGGCGGAATTCTTGATTTTGATGTGTTTTCAGCACAAAAATGGCCGCCATTTGGCCATCATGAATCAGATCGAGAAATGAATTGATGTGCATATGTATAATATTATTTATGATGTATGTGTGAAGTTTGAATGTTATCGGTCCAGGCATGTCTAAGATTTAGGTACGGACGCACGCATGCACGAACACACAATGGACTAACAATGTGGTTTGATATTTATGTGCATTTTTTGGTATGTTGACGCTTATGTAAATCATGCATATCACAAAATAAAACACAATACTCAAAAGTCCAATGCAAAATCATGTTTTTTGACCAACAATTTAGCTAACATTGCTCTTCCGTTAGAGTTAAACCAGTACAGCATGCCAAAAATGGGTATATCATTAATTGTACTCACTTTGACTGCCATCACCTGCCCGCTTTTCTCATGGAACATTTTATTCACTGTGCCAAAAGCACCACGCCCAATTTCACCATAGTCAGTTAGGTCATCTGCTGTAAATTCATAGCTCTGTGAAAAAAAATGGTATTCATATGATTTCCCAAAAAAATGAGATACAAACTCAAAATCATAAAAATATTAGTCGCTCACATAGTTGCCTTGGAAGTAAAGATAGCCAAATGGTCCAGAAGCTCACATTGCCTGAGAAGTGGAGATAGTCAAGTGGTCTAGTAGCTTACATGGCCTGGGAGGTTAAGATAGTCCAGAAGCTCACAGGTAGGGAGGGAGGGGGAGAGAGGTTGGGGGCGAGTGGATCATAGAGGCAACATTCATTATTTCTACATTATACATATATTGCAAAAAGAATAGACATAAATCACCTCCTCTGGAGAAATGTTGAGTTTTCCAGTTTGCTCCAAGCTGTGAGAACGTAGTCGCTCACTGCAAAAAAACAAAAACAGAGTATTGTTATCTTAGTGTGTGGACATTTTGCAATAGTATTTATTCATAGTTCAATTTATTCATAGTTCAGTCACTGACATTTTGCTTGTAGCAAAAGGTTGTGTACCGTAACAACCGGTATGTCAAAGGACGATACAAAGTATTGCCAATCAGGATTAGGAAAAACTTTATTGAGACTTATACTACGTTCACGTTACGCGATCTCGGCACGTGCCGAAATTTTTAATCATTTGTGTAGAGGGATTACAGCAGTTGCGTTCACTTTATTTGGGACCCACTTAGGACCGACTTGGCTCATGCCAAAATCACGCCCTCATTCGTCGATCTGTTATTTGCCCCAAACATGGAAAACGATATGCATACGATGACAATAATAATTGCTATATATATATTATATCAATTTGCAATGATATTTATTACGATTCATCGTGCACATGAACGGCAAAGAAGAATCAAAAAACAATTATTTTTTCACGTCAATGTACCATTGCAAGAAAATAGCGGTTGCAGCAGCACATAAATATGCATTGCTGATGACGATTTGCATTCATTAATTTATTTATTACTACAGCATCCGACCATATACTAGTATATCTGCATTCCTGTCATTGTCATTTCATACTAGCATGAATCAGAATACAATGTTCTCTTAAATTTACCACCAAGGGTGTAATTTTGGCTTGTGCTGAGCGTTCAGGCAGCGAAACTCAGCACGTGCAGAGTTTCGGTCCCAAGCATCTCTCAGTCCAAGTCTTGGGACGTGCCGAGATCTCTAACGTGAACGCCACTTTACACTCATTTTTGTGTGGATTATTTATGGTTGTTTTGTAATTTACTGTTTATTTTCAATCAAAATTAGACAGCTTTGTAGAAATTTGCCTGACAAATGAAAGTCTGTATCTGTCTAAAGTGACAGGTAGAGAGGTGGCTAGCTAAGAGCATGTTATATAAAAAGCCAACATATAAAATTCACTAACAAAATAAAATACACAACATGCAACATAAGAGGGCTATATTTATTCAAGTTGATTATTGAAAGCTAAGGCCATTTACTATCTGGGTCTGTCTCAAATGTATCAAAACAATCTTTATTGTATCAAAACAACTTCAATAAAATTCAAAGCAATTGCTGTACAATTACTAGCAACTTAAATTTTGCAATGAACAAGTTGATTTTTCTTCATCAGCATCTGGCATGCCTTCGAAAGTTTATGAAATGTTGATACGTAGTTTGTGACATCATGACTGAGTATGTACATTGTAATCCATCACTGAGGGACAACAGCCAGGATAAACTGAGACAAATCGCTTAATGAAGGACTGTTTATAAAATCATAACACTTCTTATTCTGTCAGTATTATAAAACAATATTATAAACAGTGAACTCAATTGTAATGAGAAGCAGTCTGTGTGGATAATTATAGTAAATATTACTGAAATAGAGATGCCCTCATAGGAGGTGCAAAGGTTGACAGTTTTCCCCACACTTGTATTTAACTTGAAAGGGCAAGAAAGAAAATACTCACAGCAAGCATGCTGATTTTTTTGAAGTGCATTTTCTATTTGAAAATTGATCTACAAAATGACACAGTCTTCTATAAGCAGGGGAAAAAAGTGTTATATTTAGACATGACAACACTACCATCTATCTAGTTATCATACAGCATATGAGCACAAACATATACACCACACACTGCATTATGCCTGTGACTGAGTGACCCAGTTTTTGATGGACTTAATCAAGTAAAACTTAATGTACAACTTACATTTGCGTTGGGTGTCCTGCAGTGAAGCATTCTGTGGGTGATTTTGCTGTAAATCTCACTGTGTCGAAATTCAACTTTAAATTCCGTCTCTTCCCTGGAAAAAAGAAAACAATGAGGAATGAGGGTCACACTTTTTTTTTTTTAAAGTGAATGTTGATCTTGCATGAAGGAATCAGGCCGAGGAAAAAAATAATTGTGTTTCTGCTAATCGCACTAACCAATATTTTGTATTTTATATCATTTTTTTTTGTAAAAATTGGAAACATTCCACCTGAATGAATATGTTCATTTTGATCTTCTTTGAAGTAGCGAATGACAAAAACATAACTACACTATTGTGACTAATTTGTAATTCGTCATTTTTTCTTAATCCTAAATCTGTATTACAGAGTTTCTGAGAATTATGCTTACTTTGTTATAGACTTGACAGCCTTGTTTGACTGATATGATGCTGTACGAAATTCGCTATTTTATAACACCATCATGATTTGCTAATCTAGTGTAATACGTTTCAATAACTATCGTTTATTTCTTGTCTATCAACATTGTACCGGTATGTGATTCAAGAAATATTAAAACATATCAAAATAACCTGTTCATGTATTCTAACAAATATGTATCATTTTGAGAAAATGTGTTCTATCCTATTGTCTAGTATGATAATGGAATGATATAAACTGTGCACTTGTGAATGATGTGGTGCCGTCAAGTCCAGATTGGACAAAAACTAAAATGTTTTGCAAAGTTGCAAGTATCTTGCTAACTGACTGGCTGAATATTTCTCAGAATCGCTGTAAATGCATGATTGCAACTCAAAATAACCTTATAATAATTAAACATATACAAATAAAAATCCTACCTGCCTACCCAGTATTTTATTAGCCCGTTACAGGAAATACAGAATTTGTTTTCCTTGGCCTTAATCATAAACCATGTTACAGTGAATGAAATGCCACAAAACCCAGAATTACTGTTACAAAAAAACAAACATGATTTTACATGTAATGTTTAATATTATATTATATTATACTATAATTATTAATTAAGAATGAAAACATTTCCTGTGTTATCTAATGAACAATGAAGATTGAAGTTGTATTCTAATTTTGTATAATATATGCAGAACACCTCATACTGGTTGTGATCACCAAAAAAATAATAAAATCTGTTGGTCTGGCAACAAATTCTGAAACATTACTGAAACTAGTTTGGACAAAAATAGGGTCACTGAATGAAACATAATTGTCATTGTCTAATCCTTTGTATGTATTATATGAAAGCTTCTGAATTCAGGGTTCTGTTGGACTATAGACTGTACAGAAGTTCTATGGTTGGATAAAATTTCTCATGAATTGTTGAAAACTAAAGCTTGTATGGTACTGATATGGTACTCATAGGAGATCAGTGAGAGGATTTCTACCAATCATACAACCGAATAAAACAAAAATAGCTGCAGCTTTCCTAACAGTTGCAATGACAACCATTGTAATAATAATAATAATAATAATAATACGTTTTATGAAATGAAATAACAAATCATCAGAGGATTAAGTGTAAATAAAGTAGGTCAAAACATGGTGACAAAAAATGTAATCAAATAAGATATAAAAGATGTACAAGTTTGGTTTTCCATCTAATCTTTGATGCAATCTTACCAACATTGCATTCACATCTTAGACCTGATTGAAGAGGGGTATCATTTGTAAATCTAACTGAAAATGTAACATATATGACTAAATTGCTTTAGATTTAGCAATACTTTTGTATCCTTTTTTATATTCTTTTGAGTGGAGTGAGTAAGACAGGAAGTGCCAAGAAAGTGTACTATATCATGTTACAGTTGATAGGCTCTTTAGAAAAGAAGCCAATAATAAACGGATGCCAATCAGTGTATGGTTTCCATAGCAACTCCAATTTATCACCAATTAGCAAATAGGGGGTGTAATATTTCGAAAAAAATAAAGAAAACATCAAGAGAAGAGATTATAAAATGAGACTAAATTGTTTGTTTGCAACCCACTTTAATCGGACCTCCCTGGTGTTTTATATATAAACATGACATCATATTCCAATACTCTAGTGACAGGGCTTCATAGTTATGCTAATTAGATTGACAAGCAGCCTTGCAAACATGTACATGTATAGGACATGAGTCATGTGGAGCTTGCAGACACAAAACAAGTAGAACATCTTTATTAACCAGCCATGTAAATACCAAGAGAAAACATTACTTGTATGTCGACAGGACACCCACACAAACACGAATCGACATCAATTGAAATAAAGACTAGTAGTATACTGTACTGAATAGGAGCAACACATGTACAACACAGCTGCATCATCACAATTCCTCAACCGGGGTAACAAGAGTGTTATTGAATTATTTTGAAGGCAAACGCTTTTCTTGTTGACGTTCACTGTTTCAGTATACGGATCCAAGATGAACCTTTGGTCGTA